AATATAATAATTAATGGGTCTCAAGTTCCAATTTTTAATCCATATATGTTTCACAATTAAAAAAGAGAATGTTGATTATTCCAATTGTTCGCGAATTGTCTTATCACATTATAAATATATTATGTATGCACTAATAACCACAGAAGTTCATAACATTATTTATATTTGATTTATTCTTGGGTCTACATTAATTTTTTTTATATTAATTTATAAAAAAAATTTAGAGATGACATCTTACTTATATTTGGTTCTTTTACAGAGTTTTAAAATTTTATACTGATATCTACCTTTTGTCATTAGAAATAATATTTTGTATATTATGAATATTTTTACTATACATCTAAGTAGAATGAATGCGATGTACTATATATATAAAAGAAAACTCAATAACAAAATACTTACAGACTGCATAATGGCTGCTTCAAATATATCCATTCTATGTGTCTCCAGGGCAAGACCTAGAGCTTGACGATATTGATTATCATCCAGACAGCGTTGGAACATTCGATTCACTATTCCCTCCAGTCTAGGATCAATGCCCTTACTACCTGGTGGAAGTTTTCCTTCTGCCTCCAGGACGCGTTGCTGAGTATAATAATCAATACACTTGGCTAGAAAATTTAATAATTAAAAATTAATAGCTTGAAATTAATAGCTTGATTAAATACCATTGATAATAATTTGACATACCGATAGTAGTATCAACATATTCGTTTCGAGCATTGACGTCAAATAGTTCTCCTGCTCCAAGAGCATAAGTCAATGAATCCTCAAAACTTCCCAAATGGTAATATACTTTGCTAGCAACTAGAGCAGCCAGTTCATGTTGTTGGAACGACTTATCTTCGTGCAGAATCTCACTGTAAATAGAATATCCACTTAGAGAATAAAATAAACAGATAAAAAGCAATAACGCTAAATGAAATCAGCAATAATACATGAATATACATTTTGTATTCTTTTTTTCCTGTACATACATTTTTTCTATAGCCTCAGAAATCTCAGGCCAAAATTCATCAACTATCATGTCCAATTTTTTCAAGGCAAAGACTTTCAATTCCGGCATTGGCTCCTCCAATAAGGAGATTATACCAGCTGCAAAAATTTTAATTGTATTTTAAGTAAAAATTATTATCACAAAATTGATATATTACGATAAATATTTAATATGATAAATATACAAAAATAATAAAATATTAAATAACACATATAGACTATGTTAAATAATATTAAATAATATTAAATAATAAATCTGATCGATAAACTTTTGAGAAATTTGTTTCATTATTTTTCTTTCGTATCACTCCAAAAATGGATGCTCCGAAATTATCGAAAAAAGATTTCGAGGTTAAGTTTTGCACGAATTGCAAATCATTGTACGAAAGTTCGTGCGAACGCGATAAAATTCTCGCATTAACAAAAGACCGACACAATTTGAGTACAGAAAATTATTTGGCGATTCACCTGCTGAAGTGATATTCATCCTGCTGATTTTCATCGAATGATAAATTTTCCAAAGTACGAGCCTGAAGTCTGAAGGCTAACAAGCCGGAACTATACACAACCATACACAACGATATCAACGATGCGTTAAAGCCATAGGCATATAAGATAGACGAAGCAATGGGCGCGTTCAAGTTGACAAAGCGGCTAGCCTACTTGCCGAGCAAATGAGCATAATTGGTTGTTACTTATAGATCCAACCAATCATACTCAATCGCTCGATAAGCATTTCTAGCCGCTTTGGCGTCTTGAACTCACCCATTGGCTTCTGCACACAGAACGCGGCAACGCTTGCCGAATGGCGGAAGTTGAGGCGATAGCCAATCAACGTCTCGCTTGCTTGAAAGTAAAAAATATATAATTTCCACCGCGCGACAAAAGTTAAACTCAATCCAAGCGCAGCAAGCATTGCAGCAATTCCACACGACTTGCATAGCCGCATAATCATATGCATAGAAAGCCAATCACATTTCTATCATAAAGGCTTCCCATTGATAGTACATCGATCGATACATCGATCGCAACGCGCGCGCAAACGCTTCTGATTCGCTAAAATATCGTCCCAATTAAAATGGCGGCTGATCAATTGTGGCCACGTATTTTCCTCGATGCCCATTCCAGTGTATATATAGTTCAATGGAGCGTCGGTATGAAAAGGCACCTTAACCCTTAGTATCTTGGTTCGCGAGGCAGAGCGATGTTTATTTCTGCCATCATTTCATTTCATGCAAAAACATGTTGATTAAACTTAATTTTATTGATTTTTAAGGTGATTGTGCTAAACCTTTAATATAATTATCTTTTCACATCACACATGGATTTATTCGCGATATCCACTCTGATTTGTATTTTGGATAATATTGTGCCGTTTCTGATTAGATTTGTGAGTATTCTGGAAAAAAATATACCTTTTCGCATTTTTATATTAAATTTTTTAAAACTTTTATTGGAACTTGTCAGACGATTGTAAACCTAATAAGTCACTTTTTATTTTATTTGCAAGTCTTTCGAATATTTATGTTAAAATTGATGAAAATTTGTTTGTATTCATAAATAATATTCAAAGATATTTAAGTTATATCGAACTGTGCTTAATAACTTAATATTCTGCTGTTATAAAATACAGATTTTATCACATGTGTTGGCACAAAAAAGATATGACATTGAGCTGCGAAAGGAATTGAGTAATTTGAAAGAAAATATGGCAGGACTCTCCATGGTAGATGAGTTTGCCAAATGTGCTAAGCTCCAACGTCGATGCAATTATGTAGAAAATATTCTAAAAGAAAACAGTAAGTTTTTCCTTCATACTTTATCGAATGAAAACTTGTAATAGATTATCACTCCGAAAATATCCATCTCATCAATGTTGGATCCAGGAATTGATTGTTTTTGACAGAAATAAGATCTATATATTTGATATAAGATTGTTTTTTATTATTACGTTTTTGTCACAAAATTTTATATGTATCTCTGACTTTGTACAATCTTCCTTTTTTCATAGTGGATCAACGATTAAATCAGAAAATAAAACTGCAGATGTTGCTAATTTATAGTTTTCGTATACTGAATGTACGTATATTATTTGCTTAAGCAAGTATTTCAGGTTTTCACTATAATCATATTAGATTATTAAATTACAATTGTATGCATTTTTTTCATCTGTCATACATTAAGATAAATTTACTTTTGCATGTTATCACATGAACTAAAAGAACAGTTCATGATTTCATTATTTTATTGCTCAAGTAGTGACATAAGAAAGAATTCAAATATATATTATAAGAAGAAATTGATGTAATTTTTCTCTCCTGTCATAATTCAATATGATTATAGCGAAAAATCAGGAATTTTTATCCTTATCCTTTTTGCAATTTCAAGCTCTACATTATTTTTTCAGGGTACATTGATATTATGGTTATGGTATATGTATAAAGACAAGCCAGTTATTGTTCTCTCAGAGGATATGTTATGGCCAATCCAGAATATCTTGAGTTGGCCATGTCAACATGAGAATGCTATTTCTTTGTTAGCATGGCTTGTGATTACCCGATTAGGAATATCAGCATGTAAAAAACTATATGTGTAATTTAATAAGTTGTCATGTAAATCATTAAGCTATCAGCTTATTATGAATTCTGTAATTGACAGGAAGAAAGTAATTAAAAATACTTTGTATTACATATTTAAAGGGAGTTCTCTATCTCGTGATTGAACTTGCGTGATCTACAGAAAAATGAATAAACGAATTTCGCAGCAACAAGAAATATTTTACTTTTACAAATTGAAAGATAAAAACAGAAACAATTAATTATCAATATTTAGTTCGTATAATCGTGCTATATATGGCAGTTATTTGAGCCAAATATCGATTTGTTTGAATTTCTGACAAAGTTTTGTCAGAATGTTTGAGGTGCGAAAAACGACTGCGGAATAGAGAAGGCGTTATAAAAATAATCAATCAGAGTTATTCTGCGTTATTCCGAATAACGCTAATTGGTTGCTTCTATGACGCATTCTCTATTCCTCAGTCCTATTCCGGACTGTGTGATTTTATCTTAAGATAAGAGTGTCCTACATGTATCAGTTACAGCAAATAGTAACGTAAATATATCAGATTTAATATACATTATACATATATAATTAATATAATTATATATAAAATATATATAATAATGATAAAAGATATAAGATAAATATTTTATCAGTATCTTAAGTCCTGATCTGTCAAACTTAATAGATGATTAAATACTGGCCCCTTGTAAGTATGATTATACTATTTATAACAGACATAATTTGAAATTTAGATTTTCGTATAGACGCACGTCAAACATGCTGGGATAGCACAGAAAGTCTTTAATGCGTCATTATTACCCATTCCACCCGGCTCAAAGAACCGAGTAGTTTTTTCATCCTCCCAGGTGGATAGAGTAGGAATCTGTACGTTCCATCTAAGCGCCCAATAAAGAAATCTAAATGCTTTCTGGATGACTGGGTGCACCCGGAAATTTGACGGCAGCCCAACACTGCACGTTTAATCGGGTTTAATAACATCCGTAGTTATAAAATTGTCCAATCATAGCTGTTCCTCGGAAGAATGTAATGACTGTGATTGGACAATTTTATAATTACGGATGTTATTAAACCCAATTAAGCGTGTCGCGTAGTAAAGATTATAGACTTCATTAGGTGCATTTATATACATGCAAGCGTCAAGCAGCAGAAGCAGCAACGAGGCAATTTTCACAG